CATCGTACAAGTGCACAAGCGAGGTAAATTTCAAGTGCACAAGCGAGTGCTCGCCCGCAAAGCCAACCCTTGGCACATATGCCAACTGCATGCCAACTGCCCAGGCCTGCAAATCACAAATCACCAACGTAGGAGTAACATCTATTCACATAACTTTTCAACAGGTCGCTCAAGCCCAAAGCAGCTTTTCAATAACCTATAGGCAAGTGCAAACTGTACATGACAACTTTATTCACCTCGTTTTAGGATGAAATTCTTCCGGCCTTGTTCTCTCTCGCTTCCCCACTGCGACGGTGCCTGGCAGGCGGCTGTGCTCAAAAGTCGTAGAAAGGTGCCAACCAGGCCAGTAACCAGGCCAGGCGGGTGGAACACGATATAGGAGACTGGTAGGATATGGGATATAGGTCCCCAAATAGATAGAAATTGTTTCCAATACATTTTTCGTGGGGATTTACTTTCCCATCCATGTTGGGGGTCTATATACAGGAGTCTGTAGGATAGCTGCTTCCTACCAACAATATAGGAAAGCGCTGTAGCCATGGGCATGTCATGGTCGAAGTCTCGGAGCTCCTTTCTTGCAAAGGCACTGCACGGCATGTTGCAGTCCGTGCCGGAAGTTTCTCCAGCTGTGTCAGTTCTTATTCGGACAGCTCGATATGGCGGATGGCCTGCCCACCAGCTGTAAACAAGAATGATTCTGCTCTAAGTTTTTTTCTCGTCTCCGCGCAGCCCATATATATAGATCGATATATACATATATATATATATATATCACGGACGTTCAAACTTGGCCGCGGGTATTGAAAACACATTGTCGGATCACACCTTTGGCGTGGCTGTGGATTCACCCACGCACGAGAAATATAGCAGCTGTTTTATCATATATTATGTGTTTGTTATCTATCTATTTAATGAATATTGGAATATTTTTGGTATGAAGAATAATATGCCATTTCTGAGGCATGGCCATGTTAGGCCATGTTCCTGAAGTCTTGCAACGGCTCTCATAGTCGGTCTTTTATTTGCCTTGAACCATGCCCGTCCATGCCCTGGCCGCAGGCTCACAAATGCCAGCAAAAAAAACAAGATACCAAAAAAACAAAGATGCAAAGGAAAAGGTCAACACAACCGCAAACATAAAATAATGACATACACATACACACAGATCACCAATAAGAAACAGCAATAATTTCCCCATCCATTGGATCTTCGAGCAAAGCGAGAAGATCTGCACTGCATCCGACAAAGTTTGCACCTTGTTGGCAGCCTGCCATCCTCATTCAATGCCTGCATGAAGGTGGCTCAGCAGAAAAGATCCAAAGCATGACACAGAATACAACAAACAAAATAAGATGACGCCTGACAGTTTCCATTAGCCTCTCCTTTCGCCTCACTTAATTACTTGGCGATAGTTCAAAACATAACTGAAAAATGTTTATCTCGTCTACGGGGTTTAGGGCCTCGCCCTGTTATGTACTAAACTATATTATAACTCCACCTCGCGCAGCAACAAATATTTGAGGTACGAGTTTAGCTTAGAGGTGTACGGGAGACCTCCGGAGATTTTGCCTTTCAATCTTCTCAGGCTGTCTAGCCACAGATGAAAGGTGGTGGTAGTGGTAGTGGTAGTGGAAGTGAAGCGGTAGTGGTAGTAGTTGCAGCTGTTGTTGCAGCGCTTATGAAAGTAGTAATAGTAAAAGTAGTAGCAGTGGTAGTAGTCGTCGTCGTCGTAAAAATAATAGTAATACTGGTATCCCTTCATATATATATATATATCGCGCCTGACCTCATAATTCTAGCTATTACACCTCGTTCCCTCCGGTGGGTTGCTATAACAAATACCTGTTTAAAAAGAAGGCTGGGGTGCTTGGGAGGGCATTGGGATTTCTCTTTAAACCTTCGCAGGCCTGATCTGAACAAAACTCTTTTTAAAAAATCAATCAAAACCCAGCTTTGTGATTTTTGGGACACAATTCATTTTATACCATAATGGTCTTGCATCTTTCTTTGCACGAAAAACGTCTCCCAAGAGTGCTGTTTAAAAGAACATTGCCCGAGCAAAAACCATGTCAGACCAATGTCGGAGGCCCCTAAACAAAGCTTAGATTCGTTGTGAAACTACTAGACTGCGAGTCATTCTGGGGCATTTGTAGTTGGGGTGCCCACCCAACTAGAATCACCATCGTGCCCCGCACCGTATACATGCATGTGCACCCGTGCTCTGGCACAGAGGCCGCGCTTTCCATCGAGACCTCAACAAGCCACAGTCATGGCACAGCGACATCACCCTTCGACGTCTTTAGTTCTTGCTCTGACGGAAACTTCACAGGCAAAGAATAACAACGAATCACTCGCTTAATCAAGGGCTTTGCAACCCAAAGTGTCCATCTTTGCGGGTTCACCTCTATATTGAGGACCCCCTTGAAACACACACTACGCCGGCATAGACACCAGATAGCCAGATAGCACAAAATACTTGTGGGTAGCACCAAAGTGCCTTGCACTTCTCATTCGACGTAGACGCGATCTTGCAGCCACACCCTACAGCAGCACCAGCACCCAAGCTCCAAACCGCACACGTCCCCAAACATTTCGCAGGCACCTTGGAGCGGCACTCTGCGCTAGCACCCTGCACCGGGACCCGCTGCCATAGACACTTGGCAGCAACACCCTGCAGCGCCACCAGCTTGCAGGTTCCAAAGCGCACACCGGCCATGCACATCGACCAGCGGCACCCTGCAGCGGCTCCAGCACCCAGGCTACAAAGAAGCGCGCACTGCCATAGACATCTGGCAGCAACACCCTGCAGCGGCACCAGCGCCCAGGCTACAAGGTGCAATTCAACTCTTCCTAAGCTTGAAGCAAGACCCCCCAATAGCTTTCGCTCTCTGGGGAACGAGATAGCGAATCTTTGATTAGGGAGAGGAATGGGCCCCGGTATGTTTTGATAGATGGAAGGGATTTATACACAATAGATGCCTGAAAAGAAGAACCCTTCAATCCCGGCCTCGTTCTAAGGCGACCTGTTCGGGGACGCCAAAGGACTTCCGGAGGCAGGGCCAAAGGACTTCCGGGCGAGTCTGAAGCGCTCCCCAAGCATCGCTGGGGATCTGGGAGCAATCGGTCAAATCAAGCTCCTGCAAAGGCAACGAAATGTTGAAACAAAGAGCGCAGTCCAGTGAAGTGGATGCTCCTCCAGAGCAGCGCTCTGGGCCAAAGCCTTCAAAAGATGCTTTGCACCCTCGGCACCCTTCGTGTTGTCATCGAAGCACCTCGCAACGTGGAGAGGCATTGAACCAGTTCTAGGATTCTAGGCAATCAGTTCAGGAAAGTGTGCACAACAAATGCTGAGAACTTCCACGGCATTCACCCTTGTTGTGTAAAGGATGTAGAAAAATGATTGTTTGTTTCCAGAAGTGTTCTTACTCTTGGCGTCCACCACTTCACAAACAAAACCCCGCAGAAAACATGTTCTCTTTAGTATGTTGTGCATCTCGAATCTCTTGGCCAAGACGCTGTTCAAAAGAAGCCTTTCTCAAGTTGGACCAGTTTGCAGTCTGAAGGATTTCCCAAGCATCAGTGGGGATCTGATCACAAAAAGACAACTCTAGGTCCTGCAAACGCACGGGCAACTGCATTTTAAAACAATATGTGCAATCGAATGCAGTACGCGCTCCTCCAGAGCGGCGCTCTGGGCCAAAGCCTTCAAAAGATGCTTTGCACCTTCAGCACCCTTCGTGTTGTCATCGAAGCACCTCACAACGACATGGAGATGCATTGGATGCGTTGAACAAGTTGATGGCAATCAGTAAAGTGTACACAACAAGTTCCGTGTGGGGAGTTTCAGCTCAGCATATCTCAGCATGATTATGTTGAGTGCTGCCAAGGAATTCACACTTGTAAAACAATTATTAGACATATGTTTTTTTGTTTCTGGTATAGCTGGATCCTAGCCTACCACTAGGGGTAGGATTACCTATAGGGTCCTTGTGGGTCACAAACAAACATCTTCAAAAAAAGCCCTTACTGCCTTTCTGAAGAACTCTTGTCATCGGGAATCAACACAAGGAGATCCCAAACACATCCCAAGCCTCCCGCGGCGTTCTCTCGGGCAAGACGCTGTTCAAAAGAAGCCTTCTTCAAGTTGGACCAGTTTGCAGTCTGAAGCGCTTCCCAAGCATCACTGGGGATCTCGGAGCAACGAGACAGATTAAGGTCCTGCGTCTGTAAAGGCAATTGCAGTTTGGAACAACATGCGCAGTGAACACTCCTCCAAAACGGCACTCTGGGCCAAAGCTTTTATAAGATGCTTCGCCCCCTCAGCACCCTTTGTTCTTTCATAGAAGCACCTCAACGACACGGAGATGCATTGAACCAGATACATTGTCATCCTTTGCGTCGAGCTTCGACTAAGCATGAGTGCTTCCAGGGGGTTCTTGTCAAAGATATAGAAACGTGCTTTGTTGCGTCCTTTCTCTTGGCGTGCTCAGCTTCACAAACAAACACCCACGCCTTTCCCTTGGCCAAGACACATTTCAAAAGAAACCTTTCTCAAGTTGGACCAGTTTGCAGTCTGAAGGATTTCCCAAGCATCAGTGGGGATCTGATCACAAAAAGACAACTCTAGGTCCTGCGTCTGCACGGGCAACTGCATTTTAAAACAATATGTGCAATCGAATGCAGTACGCGCTCCTCCAGAGCGGCGCTCTGGGCCAAAGCCTTCAAAAGATGCTTTGCACCTTCAGCACCCTTCGTGTTGTCATCGAAGCACCTCACAACGACATGGAGATGCATTGGATGCGTTGAACAAGTTGATGGCAATCAGTAAAATGTACACAACAAGTTCCGTGTGGGGAGTTTCAGCTCAGCATATCTCAGCATGATTATGTTGAGTGCTGCCAAGGCATTCACACGTGTAGAAGATGTAGAACAATTATGTGTTCACCACTTCACAACCAAACACCTCCAAAACAAACGTTCTTACTGGAGTATTTCGGACATCTGTAATCAACACAAGGAGAACGATGCAACTGGCGCCCTTCTCCTGGCCAAGACGCTGTTCAAAAGAAGCTTTCTTCAAGTTGGACCAGTTTGCAGTCTGAAGCGCTTCCCAAGCATCACTGGGGATCTGGTTGCAATCAGACAAATTTAGGTCCTGCGTCTGCAAAGCCAACTGCACTTTGGAACAAAATGCGCGCAGTCGAATGCAGTGGACGCTCCTCCAGAGCGGCGCTCTGGGCCAAAGCTGCAAGCAAGGAAGAGGCTTCGAAGGGCACAGTACGGTCATGGCCACTGAAAGCGCGAGGAATTCGAACGGAGCGGAAGATTCTGGGAAGGATTTGAAAGTCCGTCAGTCCTGCAGAGCGCAAAGGGTTCAAAGAAAACGTGCCTTTGTTGGAGGATGTTGGATGTTCTTGCTGACCAGATGAAAAGAATTTCAATATCGTTTGAACTATTGCGAGGTGGTTGATTAGATGCCTTGCAGTGCAGTCTCAAAGCGGACAAGCCTACATGCAAACAAGCATGTAAGGCGATCATTTCTGGCCACTTTGCCCATTGAACACTCAACAGGGTCCCAAAATACACTAGTCCGGAAAAAACAACAAATTTCTGAGTTGTCTGGCCAATCAAATAGTCGTGTGGGACGAGCAAATGCTTCGGCAAGAAGCTGCATTCAACTAGATAGATATATATTATATATATATATGCGCTTGTGTGTGAACCCTCGCTTCGTAAGGCGGCCTGTATTTATCACTACAGCCCGAGCCCTCTGAGAATTAAAGGCATTCAAGCCGGCCTACCATAGTAGGATGCCATAGGCACCCTTCTGCGCAAAAGGTTAACCAAAAGAATTAACCAAGCACAAAATCCTTCGGAGCTCCCTCCTTCCACGCGCCCCTAACTGGCTCCGTGACCATGGCGGGCAGGGAGGGGAAGTAGAGTCGGCTTGAATGCATCCATGTACAGTCTCAGCTCCACGAATAAAGAAGAAGAAAGAGTAGACTCAAAGGAGCTCTACTATTGGGAACGAATGCGCAGGGACAGCTGAGACTCAAAGAGCTCTACTTTAGAATAGACCTTTTCACCCAGCAACATCGACAGCTGGAACGCGCATGGACGCGGTGTGAGCAGCGATGATTCATTATGGCCGATGAGGATCACCAAATCGACGACAAATACAAGGAACCATCTGAGGAAAGTAGACTCATGGAGCTCTACTTCAAGCAACCACAAATAGGCTACGCAATGAGGGGGAAGCCAATGGACTGCCAACCACTTATAGACGTGAAGTGAAAGCCTGTTCTCCTTTAAAGGAGTCAGGCGAGGAAGGTTCGTACTCAACCCTCCCCCGATTCACTGCAGCAGTACGCTGCCATTGGTGAAAGCTCTAACCTAAGAAGATCTGGAAAATAACTTCCACTTCACAGCCGGAGCCTTTCCAAAGACTCCACGGTTGAAAATGGTAGACTCCGAGAGCCCTACACGATTCTAGAGCAGCCCTTCGCAGGCACAGGCTCTAGCTACAATGATGCCTTTGACCTCTGGGCAGCGTTCCAGGGCCTCCTTCAATTCTTCGTCCTTGAACGTCTTGGTGTCACCATGGAACTTCATGCCAGGGTAACGCTGTTTCAACTTGCAAGCAGGCCTCATTCTTTTCCATGAAGACAGTCACCGATGACCAGAGCAAAATCCTTCATTGCCGACACCTGCTCCTTCTTCACAAAGGATGCGCCTTGGAGGATCGCCTCCGGCCTGTCGATCTGCCCACGGCAGCCGCGCCGCGAACCACGTGGCCCCGCGGCCGCCATTGCATGGCGCGCGCAGCTCCGTCCAGGCCAGTGGTGACAGGGCCTCCATCACCAACATTTGCTGAAATAACTTTAGCGACATGTCATAACCTTCGGTTGGCTGGCAGATCGTTGCAAACGTCTCCTCCAGGAAAACCATCATACATCGTCGGCACTGCAGAACATGAACAACCTTTCCAGCCCAGACCTGCAAGTCCTCAACCAGCAGCGGGCCTAGCCTAAACCAATTTTTTTTACACTTTTGCGTGGAGGCGCTACATATTGACTTCTTCTCGTTGAAGACCGCCTCAACCTTATCTTGCTCACGCAGTAACAATCTAGCCTCCTCAATGTCAGGTGGAACCCCCCTTTTCTGTTTCTCTTTGCCGCTTGGTTCTCATCCGACAATGACTGGGGCACTGCCACCTCCAACTGACCAAGCACTGTATCACTCATCCCAGTCCTACAGCAATGAACACTGAGCAAGGTCAGGCAAAGCGGAGCTGTCTGGGTACATCCCAGACTCGGCGCCCTCAACGCCATCTGGCAAAGAGCGCCCTGCAACAAGCCAGCCGCAGCGACGCGCCTAACCAAGCCACAGCCACCTTTCATTGGGCTTGCCAACATCACTGCACCTGACAGGTTTTTCCAACGTCAAGTACTGCGGCCAACATTCTGGTAACTTCAACAGCAGGAAACTTGGCACCAGGTTTTCGCCTGAGAGCAACATCTCTTCCGCTTTCAACACAACGACGTGCTGCAAACTTGTCTGGTAAACAAAATCCTGCGGCTCCTCAATGACAGAGTGGTTGGTTGCTCGCACGCCCGAAGCACAGGGTCCACCAACGCCGTAAAGGCTCCCGGGATCGGAATGCCGCAGGCTACTCCGCAGGCTCCATTGAGCATGGCCGTGGTGCGGCCGCTTCTTTAAGAGCATTGCCAAGCCCCTATTGAGCAAAGCCCGAGCCACTTCTGGCCATTCTTGGTCATAGAGGTTCTGGGCGCAAAGCCTGCCTTGAAGTTCCTCTGGCAGGATTTCGAGAATGTCTACGAAGGCCTTCTGTTTTACACCGGGCAACGATGCGACCACACCTCTTCTGCCTTTTTCCACATACTCCTCAACACCCTCAAAACCGCATTAGGTCCTCCTCCTGGTACTCAGTCGCTAGGGAACCACGCGGCACTTCTGGATGATGCCATTCACCATGCCATGAACAAAGGAGAACTGCCACCATGCCAGATTCCTCGCACTCCCTGCTGCTCATTCACTGTTCCAGATGTTCAACAGGTGCAATTGAAGAAAACCAAAATGGGAGAGGAAAGAGGTCCCTCACCGGGTCTCCTCCTCCCCGTGGGGAGCTGTAGTGACCACCTCAACATCCTTGCAAAACCACAGTCCGACTTGAAAATCTGAACTACCAGGCGGCGAATAACCTGGACTGGCGAAAACCCCCCGCGGTTGGCGTCACGGAAGACATCAGCCAGCTCCTTACTGATAGCTTCAAATCCTTCTCCGAAATGCACCCTCGACTTCAACTGCTTGTTCCTGCGCAGACATTTGCTTGTCTCCGTGCACCTTACCACCTGAAGCTCGAGGGGGCCTAGGTCGCAAGTGAACTTTCTTTGGGAGGCCGCCTCATGACGATGGCTGGACATCACCCTCCATACCCGTCTCTTCATAAGACACATGGCCAAGTGCTCCGTCTGGATCCTCGCCTCCACAGGGTAGACCGAGGGCGAAGTCAACAAGCAGTGTTCATTGGCCACTAACTCGTCCCGGGGTCTAGATCGCCCGTGCACTGGTGCCTCAGCTTCAACTGTCTTCTCCGGCACTTCAACTAACTTCACAGCACGCTTTTCAAACCCGTCACCTGTTTTGTAGCATCATCTGACGCTCCAGTCCCCACAATTGGGGTCTCTGGAAGCTTCCCCTTGTTCTTCTGAGCGGCCTTCTGCAAGGGAACGTGCCCCCATCTGACTGCCAAGGGCCTCCAATGTTTGCCAAGACCAGGGCAGTAGAAGACGCCAAGCTCCAACTTGGATCAAGCGGCCCACACTACTTTCTCCACCGGAAACTCGGCACCTTAGGGGTCAACACCGGCAAAAAATGGAAATGTCAGGTCTCAGGCAGTTGACTGGTCAGTAACTTTGCGTAATTCGGACCGGGCGCTCCTTCATGAGTCCCTGCAATAATGCAGCACTCCATATCAATCCAGGAGAGGGGGTGACGGTTAGCGGTCCCAACCTGGTCATGACATTCATACTCAAAGTGCCAGGCAGCTGGCTTGCTTGTCAAAAGGCCTATGGGCCAACTCAATGCTAGACTCCCCACCTCGACCTGAATGATGAATCTCGTCAGTGCAAGCAGGGTCAATACGGAGCTGACCGCCCATCTCCAGCGTCTCCAGTTTGGCCAGAACCCACACGAGGTCTCTGGGCACCTGGATGGGGGGATAGCCCTCACTGAGCCGAAAGACTACACATGGTTCACAACGTGCATACGTCTGCTGTACAGCAGTAATCATATACATATAAAGAACCTAGTTGCGTTCAACTGCAGTCTACTTTTCCAAATAATCAATGAAAGTACAAATAAACATAGAATAGTAACATATAGTCTATAGTAATAGCTTGTAATGGCATTGTGCCAAACCATCAGACAGCACCAAGCACACCAGTCCTCGGGCAAAGCTCGGACCAAAGGTGACCTGTTCGGGGATGCCAAAGGACTTCCGGAGGCAGGGCCAAAGACCAGGGTGAGTCTGAAGCACTCCCCAAGCATCGCTGGGGATCTGGGAGCAATCGGTCAAATCAAGCTCCTGCAAAGGCAACTAAATGTTGAAACAAAGAGCGCAGTCCAGTGAAGTGGATGCTAGTCCAGTGAAGTGGATGCTCCTCCAGAGCGGCACTCTGGGCCAAAGCCTTCAAAAGATGCTTTGCACCCTCGGCACCCTTCGTGTTGTCATCGAAGCACCTCACAACATGGAGCCAGTCATGGAGCCCCATCTCAGCGTGATGTTCAATTATGCTTCCCAGACATTCACAATTCTAAGAAATGTAGAAACATGCTTTGTTGAGTCCTTTCTTTTGGCGTGCTTCTCTTCACAAACAAACATCTCCAAAAAAGTATGTAATCAACACAAGGAGAACGATGCAACTGGTGCCCTTCTCCTGGCCAAGACGCTGTTCAAAAGAAGCCTTCTTCAATTTGGACCAGTTTGTAGTCTGAAGCACTTCCCAAGCAACACTGGGGATCTGGTCGCAATAAGACAAACCCAGGTCCTGCGTCTGTAAAGGCAACTGCATTTTGGAACAACATGTGCAGTTGAGTGCAGTGGATGCTCCTCTAGAGCAGCACTCTGGGCCAACGCCTTCAAAAGATGCTTCGCTCCCTCAGCACCCTTTGTTCTTTCATAGAAGCACCTCAACAACACGGAGATGCATTGAACGAGATACAATGACAATCTGTGCACAACAGGGTCGAGCTTCGTCTCAGCATGAGTGCTTCCAAGGGGTTCTTGTAAAAGATGTAGAAACGTGCTTTGCTGCGTCCTTTCTTTTGGTGTGCTCAAACAAACATCCACGCCCTTCCCTTGGCCAAGACGCATGTCAAAAAATGCCTTCTTCAAGTTCGACCAGTTTGCAGTCTGAAGCGCTTCCCAAGCATCACCGGGAATCTGGTCACAATAAGACAAATCTAGGTCCTGCATCTGCAAAGGCAACTGGATTTTGGAACAACATGTGCAGTGGTGCAGTGGACGCTCCTCCAGGGCAGCGCACTGGGCCAAAGCCTTCAGAAGATGCTTCGCTCCCTCAGCACCCTCCGTGTTGACATTGAAGCACCTCAACGACACGGAGATGCATTGAACTGGTTGATGGCAATCGGTAAAGTGCGCACAACAAGTTCAGCAAGTCGAGCCCCATCTCAGTCTGATGTTCAATGCTTCCCAGACATTCGCACGTCTAAGAGATGTAGAAACATGCTTTGTTGAGTCCTTTCTTTTGGCGTGCTTCTCTTCAAAAACAAACAGTCTCAAATCAACACAAGAAGAACAATGCAACTGGAGCCAGCCACGCATTGCCACGCCCTTCTCTTGGCCAAGCCACTCCTGAAAAAATGCCTTCTGCAAGTTGGACCAGTTTGCAGTTCGAAGCACTTCCCAAGCATCACTCGGGATCTGATTGCAACCAGACAGATTCAGGTCCTGCGTCTGCAAAGGCAACTGCATTTTGGATCATTTTGGAACAAAATGTGCAGTTGAGTGCAGTGGTGCAATGGACGCTCCTCCAGGGCAGCGCACTGGGCCAAAGCCTTCAAAAGATGCTTCGCACCCTCAGCACCCTTCGTGTTGCCATAGAAGCACCTCAACGACACGGAGATGGCCCAGGAGGCTTGGAAGCATGATGTTGAAGGCGTTCACACGTGCAAAAGTTGTAGAAACATAATTACTTTGTTGCATCCTTTCTTTGGGTGGGTTCCTCTTCACAAACAAATACCTCCAAGAAACATCCTTACTGAAGTAACTATTTTGGACATCTGGAATCAACACATGGAGAACGATGTAAGTGGAGCCTCCGACGCCCTTCTCTTCGCTAAGACGCCATGCGAAATCAGCCTTCTTCAAGTTCCACCAGTTTGAAGTCTGAAGCACTTGCCAAGAATCACGGCGGATTTGACCGCAACGAGACAGATCTAGATCCTGTGTCTGCAAAACCAAGTGCATTTGGAACAAAATGCGCAGTCGAGTGCAGTGGACGCTCCTCCAGAGTGGCGCTCTGGGCCAAGGCCTTCAAAAGATGCTTCGCTCCCTCAGCACCCTTCGTCTTGACATTGAAGCACCTCAACAACACGGAGATGCATTGAGCATCATTGAGCTAGTTGATGGCAATCAGTGTGCAGCGTGCACAACAGATTCGGTACGTCGAGCCCCATTGAAAGCGCATGATGTTGAGTACATTGAAAGCGGTCTCACTTGTAACTGCCTGATGTAGATGGTTTTGGCGTCTACCACTTCACGAACAAGCATCTCCAGTCCATACTTAAGATTCTGTTGGAATTTGGATCAACACAAGGAGAACAATGCAAGTGGAGCCTTCTACGCCCTTCTCTTGGCCAGGGCGCTCTTGAAAAAATGCCTTCTTCAAGCTCGACCAGTTTGCAGTCTGAAGCACCTCCCAAGCATTACTCGTGATCTGGTCGCAATAAGACAGATTCAGGTCCTGCATCTGCAAAGGCAACTGCATGTTGGAACAACATGTGCAGTCGAGTGCAGTAGATGCTCCTCCAGAGCAGCGCTCTGGGCCAGCGCCTTCAAAAGGTGCTTCGCTCCCTCAGCACCCTTCTTGTTGGCATTGAAGGACCTCAAAGACACGGAGATGCATTGAACTAGCTGATGGCAATCAGTAAAGGGCGCCGAAGAGGTTTGGAAGCAGAATGCTGAAGGCACTCACGCTTGTAAAACAATGTAAAACATATAGAACCGTGTTTTGTTGTGCCCTTTCTTTTTGTTTGCTCCACTTCACAAACAAGGTGACGGTCCCAAGAGCGACGCCGTGGAATCTGATCAACCGAACATGTAGACCGGTACCGAACGTCAACACAGTCCGAACGTTGCCCACCTACAGTAGATGGACCAAATATTCAAACCCATGTATCAATAACTGTCGCCAACCCCTGACCCCCAAAGGTCAATGTTGAACATAACTTGATTGAATTTGTGTTTCCAGGGTTTGATTTGTTTCGTCCATTCGCCGAAACATTCTTGCAAGACCTCTAACATTGAGCTTTGGGGTAGAAGGGGTCCTCGTGGTTGACAGGGTTTGAATATTTCGTCCATCTACGGTACTGGGTGCGGACGGCGGCCGGAGACCTACAGACGCACATGCGTGTGTTGTTTTCAAGTGATGCCGGGCAGTTCCAGCTACTCTTCTTACTGTTGCCATGTGCCGTGTCTGTTCCCAGTCCCTTTCCAGTGCCTTTCCAGTGCCTTTTCCAGTGCCTTTTCACGGTTTGTGTGCGCCTGCCAGTGATTTTGCCATGTGACTCACTTTTTTGCTAAAAAGAGATAGATCATCTTTTTGTTTCAACAAAACTTACCAGAAACACATTTTTGCTGGCAGGGCCACGAGAAAGTGCAAAAGGCACTGGAAAAGGCACTGGAAAGGCACTGGAAAGGCACTGGGAACAAACACGGCACGTCGCAACAGTAAGAACAGTAGCTGGAACTGCTCTTCATCTGGCTTGCTTTCCTGACGTCTGCTGTCCTCGCTCGCAACGCGTCGATGTGAAAGAGTTGAGCACAGAAGATTAAAACAGAGAGTACTACGGATGAAGATGCTAGACTTGATAC